CAGACATGCCCCACGCCCTTGGCAGGCAGTGCTGGGTGTGGAGCTGATGGCAGGCGGAGGGGCTCTCTAGCAGCTCTGTGCTGGGGCCAGCGCTTCCTCTTCCTGCCCCAGCCCTGTCCGGCTGACACGCAGCACCACGCTGGCTCCCCGTGCCTGGGGGTCCCAGTTTGTCCCCATGCTGTGACCATGGCCCAGGGCTTGTAGCCATTAAACAGCCCCTCTGAACCTTTGGATGGCTGCCTGCAGCCTGGCTAGCCCCTGCCCATATGGGGGGCTGGATGCCCTAGCCCCAGCATGTGTCCAGTGCCAAGATGAGTTATTTCCCTAATCCAAAATCAGTTATTTCATCTAGACCCAGCCTCTGCCAGGGCAGCTCCTGCATATGGAGTGCTATCAGTGCCCTTATCACCCCCAGACCCTGTGTCCCCTCTCACCCTGTGTCCCTCCCTCTGCAGTGCTCCTCGGGCCTGGCCTTTGTCACATGGAAAACGTGACAATGAGCTCCAGCCAGGACACTGGGACAAACCCACCCACGGCCACCTCCAACGGGACAGCCCTGCCCATGGGTGAGTGATGGGGTTCAGCGAGGGCCAGGCAGCACTGCAGGACAAATGGTGCCCTGGCCAGAGCTGCCCCTGTGCCACAGATGATCCCTTCTTTCCCCTAACCATCCCAAAAATAAAACCCGTGCCACAAAGCTCTCCCTGCCACTGCCCACAGTCAGCAGCAGCCTGCCCTCCCTCTGTGCCCCTGACATTGCCCTGGGCTGCTGCAGGTCCATCCCTCACTGTGCTGCTGTCTCTGCCACAGGCCTGGGCAGGGCTCCGGGTGTCACCTGGCAGCAGGTGATGCCCTGTGGGCAGAGGCACCCTGCCCTGCTCAGCCCCTTTCCTCACAGAGCGGAATTACACCGCCATCACACAGCACTGCTGGGATTACTTTGTCTACCTGATGAAGAACGTGCTGCCATCGGAGCTGTGCGAGTGGAAAATCATCAGCAGGTACGGGCCAGCAGGACTGTGAGAGCCTGAATGAGGGATGTGGGACTCCAGGTGGCTCTTCAAAATGCAGTTTATTCCATCCAAGAGGTTACTGCAGTCCAGGGTCATGGGTAACAGAGCCTGTGCCTACAGCTGTCAGCTCCAGCTGCAGGCAGGCCTGGAGACCCTTTGGTTTAGGTTACATTGCATTATATACTTTTCTTTTGGTTACAATACATTATATACTTTTCTTTTAGCTACAATGCATTATATACTTTTCTTTGCTGAGCATCTTCATACAGTAGAACCAATCTGTACCTTAACTTTTACCTATAGCCTATCATAACTACTGTAATTACCATATTCATGTTACTGTTCTCCAATCACTCAAAGTCAGTACATTACAGTTTAAGCTGGAAGTTGTTTTCGAGTTTTCTTGCAGTAGAAAATTCAGAGACCTTTTTTCTACTTGCAACATCAGCAGGCTTGTTTGCCTGTGCTATCGTTTCTGCTTGGTAAAAACATCTTCTTGCTCTAAGTCCTAAAAACCCCTTCTAACTGACATAAACCTTACCTTCTTAGTTATCCTGTAAGACTGGCTCAGCAATTCTTTTCTTCTATACCAAACCTTGCTTTAATTTCTATTCCTTCATCAGACTCTACATTTAAAAATCTTTCTGCTAAGCACACATATCTGTGAGACTTTCCTTGTCAAACTTTCATCCTTCCCAACACAGCACCTTTCCCTTTAGAGCAGGGGGCAGGGGCTGGGCACTCGGTGGAGTACTGCCGGTGTGTGTCCCCGGTGTCCCATCCCCTGCCGGTGTCCCGGTGTGTCTGCTCCAGGCCCTACAGCGAGCTGCAGAACTGCCTGGAGGGGTGGGCAGAGCGCCTCAACTACAGCTACCCCAACGCCCTGGCCGAGCAGTACATCTTCCAGAGCCACCACATCTACTTCCACAACTGCACCCTGGAGCACCCGGTGTACTTCGACCCGCCCGAGGATGTGCTGCTGGCCATGATCATCGCGCCCATCTGCCTCATCCCCTTCCTTGTCACCCTGGTCATCTGGCGCAGCAAGGACGGCAAGGCTCAGGCTTAGAGCTGCCCTCCCGG